CCTGACCTTATGACATTTTAAGAAATGCAAGAAACCTGGATTTTTTTTTAATTTACAATTTCCCACTTCTCAAAACATCTGGTCAAACAAGATACATCCATGGGCTACATTTAGCCTGTGGCTGCTACTTTGCACCTTTTGCCCAGCAGCCAGAGTTATAGAATTGGGATGGATGAGCTTTAGCACCACCAAGCAGATATCTCAAGGTTCAACCTGCTAAGCCAAAGAGTGACCCATTCACTAACATGAGCCCTCAGTATGTGTTTCAAGTTTGAAATGTCATTTCTTTTCCTCCTTAGCCTGCCCTTAGCTGCTTCTCTCAGTAGAGAAAGAAATTGCTTTCTCCCCTAACCCTAGCATAAAGCCACTACTTACTGCCTAATGAAGGGGATCCTACAGTCCAGCCCATAATCAATTGCGCTGTCTGCTCAGGGAGGTGGAGTCAGGCCTGGGATCCCTAGGTAGCTACAGAGGAGACAGGCTGCAGGGCATTGTATTGGCAGCATCATTCAAGAGGGTCAGATTCTCTCAGGCACGTGGGCGTCTTGCCCACAGCTAAGTGGAAACAATGCCAAAACCACTGGTTACTTGATTTGATTCTGCCCAACTGATGATTGTAATTGGATGACAGACATATTTCCCTCTCCTTTTCAACTGATGCTGGAGGGTGTGCGAATCTGGCTCATGAGTCATTCTTCTGGGTAGTTACCTAATGGGGAAGATTATCTCCTTTCACAGGCGAGCTGTGCCTGCCTTTTGGCTGCCTAAAGAGTAAAACCAGGTCCAAACAAAATCAAATGCCAGGAAATTTCAGAACTTCCCCACATTTCATATGGCATTGTCTACAAAGGTCTTTCAAACGTTCCCTGCTCTATTACTCAGAGGGGATACATAGTTGCAGAATAACACAGAAAAGAACCAACTACAGTAGGGAATAAAGGAGGAAAGATACTCCGTGCAAAATGGCAGGACTTCTCACTGGGGAAACTTGTAGCAAATAATTGGGAATAAGGAGAATAGTTGGGTTTTGACAGAGCTACTACACTGAAGTTCTTTAAAATATATAAGCTGTAGATTCAGAATTTTGTAATGCTGTGAATGGAGCCCTCTTCTGGAGAAATTTTTCAACAGGTATTAAAATAAGATCAAAACACACAGAGATGGACATACACAGACACAAAGAAGTAGGAAGTACTATGGCTATGTCGATGATGTGACTGTCACTGAACCCATGGTTTGTCATTTTCCTTCCCTTCCACCTAAGAGAAATTAACTGGACTCTCCGAACAACTGTCTTTTTGAAAGGAGGGAAAGAAAGAAGGATAGTCTCAAGAACCTAGATGCACTTTACCTAAACAGTGAACCTCAAACTGAGATTCAGTGCACACATGCAAATGCTGGTACTTCATATGCTGCAGTTACTGGGTACATTGGTTTGCTGGGCAATTCCACTGTAACACATAGGAGATACTTCCAGAAGGAAATAGGTTTTATTTAATGGAAAACCCAAGGGCTAAAGATAGAAAAGGAGAGAAGGGAGGGAGGCAGAGCAGAAGAGATTAGCTAAGATGACTGTTGGGCTTTTAATATACACTGTGGCATTACATAAACTCCAGATCACATATTCAGCCTTGCAGTTTATTAAATCTCTTTGGGGACTTGCTAAAAATTTTGTTCAGACATGTGAACTCTACCACTTTGATTCTTTTCACAACTTATGTCTCTGTTTCCCCAGTGCTTTTGAAATCTTACGGGCTGTCACATGTTGAAGCCATCCCAGGGCAGGGGGTGCTCTCTGCCACTCCCATAGTCTTGTCTCCTTATCAGAACGGTTCTGCAAATAAACACTTCCCTGAGCATATAATAAACGATGTTTCAGAAAACACTGATTCTCATTTAAAATCCTGAAAAATCAAGATTCTGACTCCAAAGAAGAACTCCCCATTTTAAATCAACATCTCAGGATTCTGTGGAACATTTTTGGTCACTCCCAAGTGACTGCTCTCCAAACCTGAACCACTCCCTAAAATTCTAATTCTTGGGGGATTACTCATTCATTGTTAGAACTTTTGGCTAGTTGTAAGTGATACCCAGATGGGGGTGGGGGGTGGGAATCATACTTACAGTGTAATTTCTATGTCAGGGCTCCTTGATCTGTTCCACATTCATTATTTATCATAACTAAATGCCACAGGCCACTTCCGGGACCGCCCTTCCCAAAACACCCCAGGGGAGAAGAGAGGTGACTTTTCCTTGACTTTGCCAGCTTCCAGCCATTGTTGCCTAGAATTCTTCCCCCTTCCAAAATGTCTAAAACAGCAACCAGCCAATAACCGTACAGAGATTGATGGCTTCCAAAGCCGGACCCAGAGTATTACAACTGCAATGGAAAAACACATACATGCTTGCCTGAACACCACTTAGGACCAAGTGACTAATTTGCTTTATTACATTGTTTTTCCCTTTCTTCTGTTTTTTCTCTGCCTTGAGAAAGTTTTGTTTTTGCTTGTTGACTCAAAGCCTCCAAGACTTTCCCTACTTTTCCCTATGGCACACAGAGCTGTGCACTTGAATCTCTTGCCGATTAAGTGAATTGCACCAAAATGATTTCTCTGCAAGGTGCTATTGCAACCAGTATATCAATTAGTGTCCTAATGTGGACATTCGCTCTGATTATGCACAACAATCTAAGAGAGAAATAAGCCTCAGAGAACAGGCAATTCAATTCCTGGTAAAACCTCTGCTTCCCCATGCTACGGAACTGAGTGAGCTGACAGCCTTCAGACCCACCTGTGCCATCTGGGCCCAGCAAGAGAAGACACACCAGTTGCTTTACGAAAGGTATCATGTGAGAAGCCCCTAGTGCACAGGGATTGCTGGGTGCTGCCATGTGGTCTGCCTTGCTCAAAGGGAGGAATAACTTTGGGCAAGCCCTGGAATCTTATCTGAGGTCCAAGCATGCTGAGAGAGAAAAGGACTATAAAGTCCTGGGGAAAGGCTGTGGGAAGTGCTCCCAGACACTAACGGTTCCCAGTGTGCCAGGCCTCATGGTAAATGCATTACCTAGGACATCCTGTTGAATGCAATTAATCTGCCTGGCAATCCCAGGAAGGTGATAAGATTATTTTACAGTGGGGAATCAGAAAGCTCAGAGATACTAAACAACTTGCCCAGGGTGGTAACACCAGCGTATGGCAGAGAGGATCTGTCTGAATCAGAGGCACATTCTGAACCACCCTTCAAAATGGGGATATATATACATACATACAGCCTCAGAGACAGTCAGACTCCAGAAAGTCTGGAAAACTGGTTCACGGACAGACACAGAATTTGTGGCACGACTTAAGGTTGCAGGGACCCCCAAGAGAATCAGCCAGCAAAGCCCTGGTGTTAGAGGAGTGTAACTGCGCAGTCCTGAATGGGGGCTGTGTATCCAGGGAAGACAGAAATCCTAAGTAGGGGAGGGGCTCAACAGCCCGGCACCTTACCCTGCCCCCAGGCACTAACATCCACTCAGTAACCCCCACTTTACATCATTTCCATGGTCACAGCGCTCCTGGGACACTGGCCCATTTCCAAATTCTAACTCCAACATTGATCTAGCAGTGGCCTCCCTTAGAAGGCTGCAGTGTATCCCCACATCCCAGCCAGCCCTTGCCTGGGATCCTAGCTGCCTCACCAAGCCCCCCCTCACCCAGGCACTCACACGTGTGCCTGTTCCCCTGGCACTCAGGAGTCTTGGCCAGGAGCTCAACACCCATTCCTAGCACCCAAAGGCACTCCCTGTCTCCTTCGCTCCTCTCTGGCCCTGCCTTGATCTTACCCACCCACTTGTAAGCTGCCACCTCATCCGGAGTCCCATAGGCTTCACGGGAGGCCTTGGGGGACTGGGTCGCAGTGCTCTCAGAACCTACAGGCCCCAGAGCTGGGCTGGGCGTGCCCCTCGGCTGCCAGCACCTCTGGTCTGGCCTCCTCGGAGTACTGCTTTCCTGCACACAAACTTCCCGAGATCTTCGAGATACAGAGGTGGTTGCCCAAGAACCAAGTCTCCATCGCACCCCACCCCCCACCCTCTCCGGGGTCACCGGCCCTTCCCTTATGCCTCAGCGCTCTGAGGGTTAACAGGCAGCTGCAGCCCTGGTGGGCAAGGCTTGAACTTTTCTCTGAGCTCCGCGCCCGCCCGGGGAAGACAGCAGAGGCGGCAGTCGGGGCTCAGAGCCGGAGCTCCAGCTGGCTGGACAAAGGGGGCGCGGGGGGCTGGGGCCTGCGTCCTGGCGGGGAGGGGTGACGGGGGTGGGGGGGAGACGCGCTCCCACCCAGAGGTCGGGAAGGAAAAGAACCCCGATGCGGGCGCGGCCAGAGCCGGCGCCTTTGAGCGACAGCAGCAGCCGGGCTGCAGCGCTAGGCTGGCGTGAGGCGCCTTCCCGAGCGCCGCGGGGCTGGGCGAGGGGGCCCGGGCGCCCCGGGAAGTCGGCAATGCCAGGCCGGCATCTCCAGCCCGGCAGCCCGCAATCCGGACCCGAGCCGCGCTTCCCCGCTCGGCGCTGCGCTGGGGGAAACCACGACTCCTTGGAGTCGCCTCCAACTGAGTCTTTCTCCAATGCATGAGCCTCAGGAGGAGACGAATTAAAGTTACCCGACTTGATGTAGGCGAGAATGTCGCCCCTGCTTGCAAAAAAAAAAAAAAAAAAAAAAAAAAAAAAGGAAAGACAGAGCCAGCACACCCTTCCCCCTACTCCCCAGGAGCTCTCGCCTCCTCCCACAAACGTACACACACACACACATACACACACACACACACACACGAAACCCGGAGTGAGAAACCAGGGCCCCCCTAGGATCTCCTGGGCGGTGAATGACCTCCCTTCGAGCCCCAGGCTTTTTTCGCCGCCGCGCCCCAGAGTCTCCCGACCCCCGAAAGCCCCCTCGCCCTGCCCGCGCCAGGCGATCCGAATGCAGAAACGGGGCACGGGGTGCACCCCACAGCCCCTCTTCCCTACCTGGGACAGGAGAACGCACAGAAGGAGCGGAGTTCTCGGCTGCATCTTGCCCGACTAGAAGCGCCCGGCGGCGTTTTCATTCATGGACTTGGCTGCACTGAGCATATTTTCCGTGGGAGCCAGGCTTTGAGGAGAGGCTCTGCCTCACCAGCCAGCCAACTTCCCAAATAGATCAGCGGCAGCATCACGAAAGCATTGGGTAGAGGCTGATGACCAGGACCAATGGCTTTACAAGACGGATTCCTTCATAAAGCTCCCTCGTTTTGCATGGCAGATACAGGGCGAGCACCTCGCACAGAACAAGCCCCTCGGAGGTGGCAGCCCGTTTGCTTTTTTGGACTGTTGGGGCCCAGCCACACAAATCACACTGGGCAACGCCAGCCGATTCCACTTTTGCAGAGAATGGAATTGCACCGGGGACTGGCAAACACTTCCAGCCCAGTGCAAAAAGATTCTCTTTATTAAAATGTTAATAAGATCCACTCTAATTCCAATCAATCAAATAAAATGACCCCAGCAGTCCAACCCTTTCCACGCCTGGTAAGACTTAGTGGTGGATTTTTTTCCTTTTTCTTTCTTTCTTTCTTTCTCCTCCTAATGTGGCCCAAGTCATGATGGTGTTTGGTGTTTCCTAGCCATCTCATAAATTACAAAGACGACAGGTCAATTCTCGCTTGCAGAAAAAAATCCATCAAGGGGTAATAGATTTTATTAACTGCTCAGGTGAGAGTCTGACTGGCCACCTATTCCACAAATGTGCATCTGGCACCAAATTTGAAGCCATGATTTAAGGAAACTTTTTTTTTTCTATATGGATGTGATTTTTCAGAAGCTCCTACAAATCTCCAGGGACTGAGAATAGTCATAGCTGCTGCTCAAGAGGTTTTATAAGTGGCAGTGCTATAGGAATAGGATAAGAGGGATATATAGGTCTACCTTTCCCAGTAAGAACCTAAGAATATGCAGTAAAGATCTCACTTTGTCATTTCCACGCAGCCGCCTTCTAAAAAGGATTTAAGGTATTTTAAAATAAAAGACATTTGTGCAGTAGAATTGATGCAGCCAAAATAAAAAATAATCTAGGCTGGGAGGAAAAATTCAGAAAACTGAAATGCTAAACCAAAACTCTAGTATCTTTGCTCTGATTTGGATCTGAGCTTCCTGGTGGCCAAAGCAATAAGAGAAACGTGTAAATTATGTAGTTCTTATTATAGAAAAATGTACACAAATTTCTACTGATGAAATTTACCCCTGGAGCTGAATACTAGAATACATGTATTACATGACATCTAATATAGCAGGACACTGAGCAATGGACTATGCTGAGATCCAGTGGACTGGGCAGTATTCCCAGCATCGGCACAGGGCCTAGAACATGGAGACAGTCATCAGTCTGTGTTAAATAGATGTCTAGACCTAATCAAAGTGGCAGAGGGTAGGTGGCACAGAGTCTGGAACCACATTGCCTAAGCTTAACCCCCAGCTCTGTCTCAGACAAGTAAATTACTCAGACTCTCTGTGCCTAAGTTTGTTCATTAAAGAGAATATAAATCATACTGAACTTATAAGGTTGTGGTGAGGATTAAGTGACAAAATAACCACTCAATAAATGTAAAACGGTGCCCTTTTAAAATTCCTTCACTGCCAGCTATTTAGTCCCAAGATCACCTCACGTGGTCCCAAAGTAACGGATGAAGTTGCGATGCTATCTGACCTCCCAGCTGCATTAGCCAGAGCTGGCCCAACAGATGGCAATGTTGCCCAAAAGGCCTCCAGAAACGCCCAGGAAAGGGGGATGTTGCTGCTTCCTCCAGTCTCTTCAACTTTCCATCCTCTTGCCTAAGTAGGCACTGGCCCTGAACCTTTGAGACGGGCAGTCACAAAGTGTATAGATATGACTGTCCCCTCTTGGAACTCATGTGTGTGGAGATCTATACCCATGCTGCCTACCAATAAGAGCAAAATGGGGTATTTTGGAACCAGGCAGGCTTCAAATCAAGGCATCCTGAAATACCCTGGTTTTTCTCCATTCCACAGCAGGAGTCATCTTGTCAGTCAGGGGCCAGCTGAGCTAAGCCCACGGATTCAGCAGACACAAAAGTAGACAGAGAGCAGAGGACAGCTTGGGAGATGACAAACCACTAGAAGGGATAAAGACGGCAGAGATCATCCAGCCATGTTTCCACAAGCAGCCACTCGGTTGGGGAAGCAGTCTTTAGGGTAGGGTGTGTAAGGCTGCACTTGTCCAAAGTATGAAACAGTATTATTGATTGTATGGTTTGGCAGGCCCTTTCTGTGGTCTATCCATCCCATCAGCCTTACTGCTGCTCACCATGTAGGTCCAATTTTCTCCCTTCCTGGCACATTTAGGGCTGCACTTGCCAGCCCCCTTGTGGTCAGCATGGGGCTGTGTGATTAGTCATAACCAATAAGCTGTGAGCAAAAGTGATGGGTGTCACTTGAAAGCGGGAGCATTTAATAGCCAGTGTGAGACAAGTTGGTGAGTCCTTAGAATAGGGACTGAGAAGGAAATCTGTGCAGGTGGCTTACTCGGAGCAACAAGTGCAAGAGGAAGGGAAACAAGGTTGGCCGGGAAGAAGACTGCAGCGGTGGTAGAAGCCTCAGTCAATCCCAGGGGAGCTCTGAAGCAACAGAGGCCTTGCATTCAGAGATGACCCTAATAAGAGTCACAAAGGCTGAGCCTTTGTGCCCCTAGGAGGCCCGCTATTGGCTGTTCCCCCAAGGAGGGGAATAATCTCTGGTGAGGAGGCTTGGTTTGGCCAAGGGCAATATTCCAGTCAGACCTCAGCTTCTTCATCTACATACAAAATGAATGTATTGACCCACAACAGGTAACTGGAGGCTGTAATTCCCAGATTGCAGATGACCACATGCCCCTGATGGTACCAGTGAAGGTAGGTGCAGATTTGCAAAAATCTGTTGAGTCTGTCTCCAGCCAGTACCTGTGCAGGTATTTACCAAGGTCCTGGGCTTTTGTCCTGAGTTATTCTATTGGCAGACAGACTGGCTCCAGCCAACCACACCAGAGTCCAAGTGAGCATGCCCAAAGGGTCGCTCCCATCCCCCCCTACTTCAGTCCCCACAGCTTGGATTTTAAGGGCCAGGAGGAGTTAACTTCAAGAGTCTTCTCAGGCCTTAAGGCTCACCTTTAGAAACCCATGAAGGCTAAGGAAGGTCGACAAGATTTGTCTGCAAAATGAGACTTAGTTTGGGATCTCCAGACTCTACTTACCTTGGGCAAGTTGCTTTTACTTCCCAAAGCTCAGTTTATTCATCAAGAAAATGGGAATGATAATACAATAGCACTCCAAGGGTTTTTATAAAAATGGATGCTTTTCCCCCCCCCAATCCCCTACTTCCCTCTACTCTCAGAGAATGTGCATTTCACCAAACACAGGATATCAGGTTTTGTTCAATAAAGACCGAAGGAAAATCATTTCACTCAAATGATAACAGGCCCCTAAAGAAGAAGTCCATTTTTGTTTGTTTTACATTTTCCCTTCAAGCCCCTAATGGGAGTCTTTCGGCTGATGGATGGATTGATGGTAGCAAGGGAGCACTGAAGCTGGAAACCACCCCCTAATGGCTCCCGCTTCACCTCTCCCCACTCCAGCCCCCCACCAAGCCCCTGGCTAATTTGCCCAGAAGCTGGGTCTGCCTTTGGACACATTCCATGTTCACACTCCTTTCCCAGGCACATCAGCCTGGCTTGGGGCTGATGAAATCATCCAACATTCAGTAGCTGTATCCTGAGGTGCCAGGGATTGAGACTGTTGCCTCACATTGACATGGATGAAGACATCATTTCTGGCTGTGTGACGATTACCATGCACATGTGTGCAGGGGTTGGGTATTATGTGTACAGGCACATGGAGGTGTATGAATAGTGAGGGGATACCTGCCATACCGTCCAGCAGAGATAATTTACTCAAATTGTGGTACCCTTTGAATGTGCTTTTGTAATGAGGCATTTGTACAGAACAGTGATAAACCAGCTAGATGCCTTATGAGACACAATAATCATCAGGTATGCCAGGAGCCCTTGATAATTGGGAAATGCTAGGACAGCGAGGAGGGAAGCCCACACTGTACAGCATTACGTACATAGCACAATGCTGAAGCTACAGCCCTCCCAATGGGATAGCCTGCTATAAAACATGCGAGACTATGCCACCACACCATCCCATAATACCTGGCCGCCCAAAAGTAGCATCCTTGATTGTTCTTGAGCCACGAACCTGTTTTGTTTCTTCATAGCCCTTTATGTTACTTAATCTCATACTGTAAGTGGTCACTTGCATTATTGCTCCATTTTTCACTCCAGCCTGCATCTCTACCTTTTGCTCCTTGACTTTGGGTTTGGCCCCATGAACTTGATGTGGCCAATGGAATGAGGCAGAAGTGATGAGGCGGCAGTTATAAACCCAGGCCCCAAGAGGCCCTGTGTGTTTCAGCTTGCTCTTGCTAAGGCCTTCATGGGTGAGCTTATTGGTTGTAGGAGGAGAGACAAGCACCCCCATAAACCCAGAGGTGCTTAGGTAAGCCCAACAGAGCCCCACCCAGATCATCTGACCTATAGGCATGTGAACTAAAAATAAATAATTGCTCTAAATTTGGAGGTGGTTTGTTACATAGCAAAAGCTAACCAATAATTACATTTTTTCACTTGTTATCTGTCTATCTCTCTGCAATGTAAGTCCCAAGTCTCTCTTTCTGCTTCTGTGTGCTCAGCTTCTAGGACACTGGCATACAGTAGGTGCCCAAATGATTTTTGCTGAGAATATAAATTAAGTGGCTTCTGTACTGAGAAATGTGTGATGCTGATGTGAAAACTGCCACCTACATAGACTGCCCTACCAGAGATACTTCCTAATGTCGACAGTTCAATCCTCCCACACAGAAAGTATCCTATGACCTTGAGAGTCTCCAATCCCATGTGACCATCTAATTCATTCTACAACAAGGCAAGGTCTCCTTACGGTAGTCTAGACAAGAATTAGACAAAGTAAGGGACTTTCCACAGAGGCTACTGTGAGCATGTTGGTGCTTAGAGATCTTTGGTGAAGAATACTTGGGGTGTAACATCCTTCTGAATTTCCATAATATATGAAGAGCCCAGACATCTAAGAATAAGACAGGAAATACTCCTTTGGCTTTGGGAATACTGCATTAATACAGTGTCCTCTGTGAATACAATCAATACCATCATGACTTCCACACATGCACAGAGATAAAATCTGGAGTGACTTTTAGGCCATCTTAGTTCAATGGCCTCACTGTCTTTAGGATTTCAATTCCTCCTTAGTAGCAAAATTGGGCATTCAGACACCAATTTTA